TATGCAAACACGCTTACTATTGTTCTCTTTATACCCACAGACATATAGTAACAGAACCTAACATTATTCTGACAGCTATGAAAAGAGATGGCTAGAGTCAATTACTCCTCTAGTGTTTACTAAAGAATAGCATAGGTGTTGCTCAAGAGCTTAAAATATACAAATAAAAATGATACTCATAAAGAATTTTTAAGGTCTTAGAAGAATGGTTAATGTTATGTTAAATTATATTAATATGTTAATAAAAATTAAGAATGCAAAACTAAATATTCAGTTATTAACTCAATTATTAAAAATATATAAATAGAAAATTAGAACAAAATACATCAAAATATTAATAGTAGTAATCACTGTGTGATAGAAATCTATCTATATATAGGAGTTCCAGAAAGAAAGAAAAGAGAAAACGAGTGAAATGTTCAATGAATAATTCAAAAACATTTCCAAGGAAATGACTTGCCAGACTGAAAGGATTCACTGAATGCCCAATAGATGAAAATAGATGCACACCAAAGCACATCATTGCAAAATTTCAAGTCTAGTCGCTACAATGAAATGTTCAGCTATAAATAGGCATAAGAACCTAAATACAGAGAGGGAGAAAAAAAGAAGAACCTAAATATAGATTGTTAATTTGATAAAAAATTGTAATATTGGGTGTATGGGGAAGGGAGAGGATGATAATGTTTGAGAACTAATTCCTCATCTACCATAAGAATTCAATAAATAATGTTTAAAATTGATTAATCAAAAGGTAACAGTATATACATATTCCTTACAAACATGGAAACATGTAAATGCTAGGAAAAAAAATAGCTAAAAGAGTTGAAAGTAGTGCTTCTGGGATGGAAGTCTGGAGGCATTGGGGTGGGATGGGATGAGGCAGAGAAATACTTTTTTGTCATTATAAGCCTTTTAGAACTATTTAACTTAAAAAAAGATGTCTATGTTTTACTTTAAGAAAAATAAAAATCAGCTGGCACGATAGCTCATACCTATAATGCCAGCACTTTCGGAGGCCCAGACAGGAGGATCACTTGAGCCCAGGGGTTCAAGACCAGCCTGGGCAACATAGTGAAAACCCATCTCTACAAAAAATAAAAATATTAGTCAGGCGTGGTGACTCCAGTCTGTAGTCCTAGCTACTCAGGAGGCTGAGGTGGGAGGATCCCTTGGGAAGTTCAAGGTTACAATGAGCTATGATTAGGCCACTGCACTCCACCCTGGGTGACAAAGTGAGACCCTATTTCTAAATTTAAAAAAAGAAGAAGAAAAATAAAAATCTATTTAAAATAATTTATACAAGAAGTACTCTCTTGAAAGAGAAATACCAGACCAAACACACAGGCAACAATGTTGCATTGGTAAAATCCAGGTTAACAATTATTAAAGTACTAAAAGTCATTTCTAATTGTGGGCAGACTTTTGTTTATTAGCCTGAGTAGTCTGAGCTCTACAAAAGCAGTGTAAAATGACATTTCAGAGACAGCCACCTGTTTAGTGCAACAAAACTGTTACAAATGTCCACAAGACCCTGACCATTCCACTAAACTTTGTCTTTATCTAAGAGTATGATAATTTAGCCTGTGTATTCATTGCTGGGCCTACAATAAGCACTCAATAAGGGGATGATAAAAGTAGATGCATGTACAATTAGTAAACAAAAAATTAGGTGGAGAAGATAGTAGTTAATAGCCTGAGATTGGAATTAGAAGGAATTCTAAGTTCCTTCCCTGATACTTAATAGCTGTACAACTATAGACAACACACCTACTTGGACTGTTTACCAATAAAATAGTGGAAAATAATAGTTTGCACTTCAGAAAGTTGTTCTGAGGATTAAATGAGATGATACACATAAAGCCTTTAGCATAGAGTCTGACAAAGTAAACCCTAGATAAATGGTAGCTATATCTATTAGCAAATGGAGACTCTTGAATTTCTTGCATCAATCCAAAAGACTGTTAATGGAAGTAGTGTTTAGATACTTACTAATGAGAAAGAAAAGAAGAAATAAATATATATATTTTTTTGCCTATTATGTGCCAGGCACTTCATATGTGTTGTTATTTGAATCCTTGCAATAATCGTAATTATTATTATCTCCATTGTACAGTTAAGAAAACCAAAGCTGAGAGAGGTTAAATAATTTCCTTCAGGTACTCAATATGTATTTACTTAACGACTAATTTGTGTCTTTTCCCAGTGTCTATTCAAGACACTGGGAAAACAATACTGAACCAAAAGACAGGATCTCTGATGAAACTTAAATTCTATTCAGGGAGACAGATAATACATTGACAATGTAATTACAGATTGCAGTGTTATGAAGGAAATAAACAGAGTTCTGAGATAGAAAATTATAATAGGATGTGCTTTAGATAGGGTGATCAGGAAAGGCCTTTTTAAAAACAGAAAGGTTAGCTGAGATCTGAAGGATGAGAATGGGCAAGCCATGAAAAGAGTGAGAGTTCCTGCAGAGGGTATATTGAGAACAAAGGCCTAGCCGCAGGGAAAAAGCTTAGAAGCTCTGAAGCATGGTAGTGAGATATGTAGAAAGTGGCTGTAGTTAGTTAATGGTATAGATATGGGCCAGATTATGAGGGCCTCTACATGGTAAAGTTTAGATTTCCACTGGGCCTGGTGGCTCATGCCTGTAATCTTAGGCCAGCGGATCGTTTGAGCTCAGGAGTTTGAGACCAGCCTGAGCAAGAGCGAGACCCCGTCTCTACTAAAAATAGAAAGAAATTAATTGACCAACTAAAAATATATATAGAAAAAATTAGCCGGGCATGGTGGCGCATGCCTGTAGTCCCAGCTACTCGGGAGGCTGAGGCAGGAGGATCGCTGAGCCCAGGAGTTTGAGGTTGCTATGAGCTAGGCTGATGCCATGGCACTCTAGCCCCGGCAACAGAGTGAAGATTCTGTCTCAAAAAAAAAAAAAAAAGATTTTAGATTTCATACTAAGTACAAGTGAGAAGCCAGTGTAAAAAGCAGATGAAGGGCCGGGCGCGGTGGCTCACGCCTGTAATCCTAGCACTTTGGGAGGCCGAGGCGGGCGGATCGCTCAAGGTCAGGAGTTCGAAACCAGCCTGAGCGAGACCCCATCTCTACCAAAAATAGAAAGATTTTTTTTGCCCCTCTAAATATATATATAGAAAAAATTAGCCGGGCATGGTGGCGCATGCCTGTAGTCCCAGCTACTCGGGAGGCTGAGGCAGGAGGATCGCTGAGCCCAGGAGATTGAGGTTGCTGTGAGCCAGGCTGATGCCACGGCACTCACTCTAGCCTGGGCAACAAAGTGAGACTCTGTCTCAAAAAAAAAGCAGATGAAGGATATGATCTTATTATTTTTAAAAGATACTTCCCAGGGCTGGCGCAGTGGCTAACCCTAGCACTTTGGTGTGTATGGGGTGGGTCAGGGATAGCTTGAGCCCAGTCTGGGCAACATAAGACAGTTTTTACACACACACAAAAGATACTTCCCTTGCTGAGTAAATGCAGTGGGGGCAGTGAGGGAGGAAAAAGGAGAATTAGGGAAACTTGTTAAGGAGGTAGAGGACAAGTTGTTCAAAGAAGACAGAAAAGCCTTGGGCTAGGATGGTCCCAGATGAGCTAAAAGGACTGCACGAGACGTGGAGGAATCAAAGGTTCCAGTTAGCACCGAGTGTTGAGATGAGAAAGGTTAGCGGGGAGGTAAGGGGATAAAGAGTTTCGTTTTGGATAGGTCCATTTTGAGATGTCAGTGAGCCTTCTAAGAAGAGCTATCAATAGACAGCTGACTACGCAGAGTAGAAATGGCCAGCGGTGTGAGCTGTAGATGTCGATATTTCCTTGGGAGGCATGTAGGCAGGATTAGTAAATTGAGGAAAACGAAAGGGACATGAGAACTTTACACTGCACCGTCTGTTACTTAAGAGTCTAAAACGACATTTAGGTTCCCATGGACTAAGTGTGGCCCAAAAGCGCAGTTTCAGGAACCGACCAGAACACAGGAACCTGAGTCAGAATTTCCTGGGCCAGCGACCCACACCTTAAGGGGCCGAGTCACCCCAAGCACGGCCAGGACGCCCACCGCACCTACGGAAAGCCGGAGGTCACGGCGGGCCGGCAGGACCCAGCCAGCGCTGCATGCTGGGATTTGTAGGCCGAGGCGCGGTGCTCGCTCGCCCTCCTGGAGGCGCCGCTGGCGGCCGGGCAGCGTAGATACCGCCGTGCCCCCGAGACTGCGTGGGTCATTGCAGCGCGGTCGTTCTAAAACCCGGGCCTGACCTTGCTTTCTTTCTTAAAAAAACTATTTGTTTATTTTTATTTGAGACGCAGTCTCGCTCTCTTGCCCAGGCTGGTCTGGAACTCCTGGCCCCAAGTGATCCTCGGCCCCGGCCTCCCGAGTAGCTAGGACTACAGGTGTGAGCCACCGCGCCTGGCTCTGACCTTCCTCTCCTGCTTGGAGTCATTTAGCGATCGTGACTTCTCATCAGCCAAAGGATAAATTCAGAGTCCGTCAAGGGACATTCAATGTCTGTTTCATCCCTATGTGGAACCCGTGGTAGCCTTACCTGCTTACACTTCCTAATTATTTTTCAAGACTGTTCTGGACTCTGCCTCTGGGAAGGCGGCTTGTTTTGGACCTTTCTCTTCTGTGCTTCCATAGCACTTTCTTATAATTCTCTAATAATTATAATCATGGCCAGCCTTTCCGGAGCTGACTGTACGTTCTAAATCTATTTACCTGCACAAGCTCATTAATTTTCACCACAACTCTGAGACGGTTACTATAATTCCCATTGTGCAGATGAGGGAATTTTGGTTCAGAAACGTTATGTAACTTGAGCAAAGCCAAGCTGAAGTGTCACATCCCACTTCCGCGTCTCTGCCGCCGGACTGCGAGTTCCCAGCCGACGCGGACAGACCAGTTTTTTACTTTCCCGCGGGCCACGCCCCGAGGGCGGGGCTGCGGTGACGACACCGCGTCCCATGCTGCCTTGCGCGCCCGCGCTGCCATTGGTCCGGACACTCGGCTCCTTTTTTCAAATTGAGGCGCCGAGTCGTTGCTCGGTTTCTAGTTTGGGCTGAGACCCGAGATTTGGCGGCCCCGACTGGTGCACCACGGCCCCCGCCGTCAGTGTTCCGGGTGGAGAGCGGCGGCGACGCCGAACTGCGGGCGTTGGTGCTCCTGACCACGCCAGCACCCAGCAGGGGAGGTGGGCACCCAGGCCATTGTCGGCAGCCGAGTCGCTCCGCGCTCCGCAGTGCCGGAGTCAGCGGCCAGGCCTTGATTTTTCGGTCGGGACAGTTATGGCGTCCCAGCCGAATTCCTGTGCGAAGAAGAAAGAGGAAAAGGGGAAGAACATCCAGGTGGTGGTAAGATGCAGGTAGGGACAGGCTGACCGGATTCTGAACGCCGGGGCTTTGCGACTGGGCTGCCTCCTGCGCGATCCCGGGAGAGGGATTTTGTTTACGTTTCCTATTTCTTGATTTCCGGTGTTCTGTTCGATAAAAAATGACACCGGGTTGCTGTGAGGAGTAACTTGGTGTCTGTTTTTCAGGAGAAAAAAAGATGTATCAGTATAGTTAAACTGCTATTCAGAAGAATTTGATCATTGTTCTTACTGAGAAATGCGTTCTTATTTTTTAACTATTGTCGATAAAGATTTAGGTGTCACGTTTATATGCCACTTCTTGTAGTTTGTCAGTCAGGAAATAAGGCTGCATACCTACTTTGCAGGTGGTTTAGTACTAAGTTGGGACTAGCATCATTTCCATTACTTCTAAAAAAGTAATCAATCACCTAGCCTCTTTATTCTAGATGCAATAGTTTTTTCATCCATACTAAAAGTAAACATCTCTGTATTTAAACACTAAAAATTAAGTTATAAAGTGAGTTTATGTTTTTAAAAGATCAAAACAACTTAAGCTAGTGTAGGTATCTGGTGGACTGCAACTTGGTTTTCCCTTTCATCTGCCTGTTAGTTCATAGAACAAAAGAGGACGATTTGGGGGGATGAGGCAGGTGGTGGAGTGTTCAATTCTCCCCTATATTCCAAATAACTTCTCAATTTTAAAATGAGCTACTGGAGGAAGAACATGCTTGTTGTAGAAATTGTTGCTTAATTAAGAGATTGATTTGTTTAACTTTTTAGAGGCTCTTCACAGTTTACTGGTGTATATGTATTTTGTGTCAGTTTATGTTGGTGCTGTTAAAAATTGCTATTCCAACTTTTCTGTAAATCCAAAAGTGTTTTAATATTAAAAGGTTATTTTTAAAAGACCTGTACAAACAAACTTTTTTAGGCTATGGTCTACTCATCTTGGTCACTTGAATTATAGGTATCAAAGGTGATGACTAGGTTTCTAAACTAGGTGGCAGAGAGGAAATTCGGTGGTAACCTTGAGTCTAGCCAGTGACACCATTTGCACTCTGGGGCTTTTATTAATAGTTATTTGTTTTGAAGATTTAAAAAAAAATCTGTGCATATAAGAAATACAAAAATTTTAAATTACTTTGGTTGTTTAATAAAGCCAGGCAGCATTACCTTTTCTGTGTGCTTTTACTTTCTTTTTTTATAGTTAGTTACAAAATATTCAGACTTATAAAAAAGTTATAAAGAACAATGTAACAAACGTTTGTGTATCCAGCACCCAGATTAAGAAACAAAACAATCATTATAGCTGGGACCCTCTATGTACCCCTTTTTTTAAATTTCAGGATATTATGGGGGTACATTTATTTTGGTTACATGTTATGGTTTTGCCACACCCAAACCATGATTTGAGGTGTGCACTTCCACCTGCAATGCTGTGAGTTTACCCGTTGCCAACTCCTTAACCCCCAAAGAATATTACTACTGTGTGAGCACCTTAGCGTTGATTAGTTACTGCCAATTTGATGGTGAGTACTTGTGGTGCCTATTCTTCCATTCTTGCGATACTTTGGAGGATGGGCTCAAGCTCTACCAGGAAAATATGAGGTGCTAGCCCTATGTACCCCTTCTAATCCCTTTTCCTCCATCCATAGTTAACCATTATGTTGAACTTGGTGTTTATTATCCTCATAGGTTTCAAGCCTTGCCTTAAAAGATTCTTTTTTTTTTTTTTTTTTAACTTTATCTCCAATGAAAAGTGCTTGGGTTATATCTAATATTTCTAAATAACTTTAGTATAAAGAGACTTTTTTTTTTCTTTTCAGTTTAGCCTTTTCTCTTTCAAGTAGCCTTCCTGGTACAAGTCTGTTATTAAGCTTTATTAAATAAGCAATTTATGAGTCCTTCAGGTTGGCAAACCTTTTCTTCTATAAAGGGCCCAGATAAATAAATATTTATTTTATTTTAAAACTTTAGGCTTTGTAGGCCACATGTGGTTTCTGTCACTTTTTTGTTGTTGTTGTTAACAACCCTTTAGAACCGTAAAAATCATTCTTAAATCTTTGTCCTGGCAAGGGCCAGATTTGACCTACAGGTTGAAGTTTACAGACCCCCATGATCTGACTGTCTTTCTGATCCCCCTCCGAAGTGCCCAATTATTTCCCCCCAATTTTATTCTATTTATTTAGTTTTTGAGACAGGGTCTTGCTCTGTCACCCAGGTTAGAGTGCAGTGGCATCATCATAGCTCACTTCAACCTCAAGCTCCTGGGCTCACATGATCCTCTTGCCTCAGCCTTCCCAGTAGCTGGGACTATAGGCATGCACCATTAGGCCAGGCTAATTTTTTCTATTGTTTGTAAAGACAGGGTCTCACTCTTGCTCAGGCTGGTTCTCAGACTCTGGCTTCAAGCGATCCTCCCATCTTGGCCTCCCAAAGTGCTAGGATTAAGGTGTGAGCCACCATGCCTGGCCTATTTTTCCCTGATTTTAAAAATTGTGTTCAAATAGATATAATATAAAATTTACCATCTTAACAATTTTTAAGTGTGTAGTGGTATTAAATACATTAATATTCTGCAGCCATCATCACCATCCATCTCTATCACTCTTTTCATCATGGAAAACTAAAACTCTGTACCTGTAAAAATAACTCCCTATTTCCCCCACTCCCACAACGCCATTCTACTGTCTATGATTTTGACTACTCTAAATACCTTATATTAGTGGAATCATAATGCAATTATTCATCATCTTGTGACTAGCTTAAGGTCCTCAAGGTTCATCCATGTTGTAGCATGTGTCAGGATTTCCTTCCTTTTTAATGTTTCCACTATGACATTTTGCACAGTGGCTCTATTTTACATTTCCACCAATAGTGCAAAGGGTTCCAATTTATCCACATCCTCACCAGTATTTGTTATTTTGTATTTTGATAAGTAGCCATCCTAATGGGTGTGATGTGGTAAATCATTGTAGTTTTGATTTGCATTTCCCTAATGATAATAATGTTGAGCATTTTTTCATGTGATTATTGACCATTTGTATCTCTTCTTTGGAGATATATGCATTTAGGGTCTTTACCCATTTCCCCCCTTTTTATTATTTATTTAATTATTTTTTATTAGGTCCTTTTTATAGATGAGGATACTGAAACAAATCATAGATATTGCGCCAAGCCCGTTCCCAGTTTATTCTGCCATCCATTCGCTCTCATTCTCCTTTGTCAGTGGTTCACAAACTATTGTGCTTCAGAATCACCTGGGCAAAGAGGGGGCTCTTCTTAAAACACAAACTGTTGGACTGTGCCCTCAGAGTTCATTCAGTAGGTCTAGGACAGAGCATTAGAATTTGCATTTCATTTTTTTTTCTTTCTTCTTTAATTATACATATACTATATAATAATATTTTTTTTTTTTTTTTTTTCTTTTTTTGGGCGAGTGCCCTGGCGTTAGCGCCTGAACATCACAGCCCACCTCAAACCTGGACTTAGCAATCCTTCCTGCCACCGCCCTCCACATAGGCTGGCGACTGGCAAGCATGTCCACCATGCCAGCTAATTTTTTTCTATATATTTAGTTGTCAGCTATTTCTTTCTATTTTAGTGGGAGATAGGGTCTTGCTGTTACTCAGGCTGGCGAACCCTCGAGCTCAAATGATCCTCCACCCTCCTTCCCAGAGTGCTAGGATTAAGGCGACGCGAGCCACTGTGCCCAGCCAGAATCTGCATTTCTAATTTCAAATCTGCTGCTGCCTGCGTCCTAAGACCCCATATTTAAGAAAACCCTGCCCTATGCCTAGAGCAGCAGGATTTAGTGGCAAAAGGCACCACCTAGGTTCTTTCTTAGCCCTGCCACCAAACAGCTCTGTGACTTGAGCAGCATACTATCTCAAAGGAAGATCAGAGCTTCAAGGGTCAATGATCTTATTGTTGACTTTCCATGCATTGCTTCTTTTTCTTTGTTATCCCTCTTAGTTTACATCACTCCAACACTAGTATCTGGAGGAAAAAAGCACAGGATAGGGTATCTATCCAGATTTGCAAACAGCAAAAGTCTTCCTATTAGGCTTAATATTCTCCCAGGTGACAATGCCACATTTGAATAACTTCACAAAAGGCTCTAGCAAGCCTCAAAGTAAAATTAATGTATGGCATTTTCTTCCTGACCCCAATTTAAATATAGCACCTTTCCTCTCAAGGGATAGAATTGAAGATAGAAAGGGGCGCTTAAAAAGACATTTAAGCCGGGGCGCGGTGGTCACGGCCGTAATCCTAGCTCCTCTGGGAGGCGACGGTGGGTGGATTGTTTGAGTTCAGGAGTTCAAAACCAACCTGAGCACGAGTGAAACCGCTCTTTACATAATAGAAGAATTAATGGCCAACTCAATATATAGAAAAAATTAGCGGCATGGGGACATGCCTGTAGTCCCAGCTACCCGGGAGGGCTGAGCAGTAGGATTGCTCGACGCCCAGGAGGTTGAGGTTGCTGTGACCTAGCTGACTACACGGCACTCCACTCTAGCCTGGGCAACAACTTGAGACTCTGTCTCAAAAAAAAAAAAAAAAAAAAAGACATTTAACGCCAGGCGGCCTGGTGGCTCACGCCTGTAATCCTAGCACTCTGGGAGGCCGAGGCGGGTGGATCGCTCAAGGTCAGGAATTCAAAACCAGCCTGAGTGAGACTCCGTCTCTACTAAAAATAAAAAGAAACTAGTTGACCAACTAAAAATATATATACAAAAAATTATCTGGGCATGGTGGTGCATGCCTGTAGTCCTAGCTACTCAGGAGGCTGAGGCAGCAGGATTGCTTGAGCCCGGGAGTTTGAGGTTGCTGTGAGCTAGGCTGACGCCACGGCACTCACTCTAGCCTGGGCAACAAAGTGAGACTGTCTCAAAAAAAAAAAAAGACATTTAAATGTATTTATTCCATAGGGGAAGATTATCACAACCTTAAAACCCAAAACTTTCTCCAACATGTAATAGAAACCAGAGTCACTACCACCCATTTAT